AATTATATACTTTACAAAGTGTACCCCCTCCCTGATAGGATATTTCTAGTACCTACCTGGCACCATACATAATTATTACAACATTATTGACTATATTTCCTATGCTGTAATTTATATTAAACCCAGCTTTATTTCTTTTAATTGATTTTTCCTTGATATACCAGTGCTACTTTAGCTAGAAGCTATTTTTCACCACAAAGCCTTATATTTTAAAATAATATTCTGTCTTTGTGTTTTTAATTGTGGTATATCTGTGACTTTTTCTATGCAAGAGCTAGCATATTTTGTTTTGCCTATCTGTAGCATTAAAGGATTATAGATTCTCAAAGATGATAGCTCTTTTGAAGCAGTTAATAGCAGAGATGCTCTTTTCATAGTGGTATTCATTTTAAAATGTAAATATTTTCTTATTATGAGAATAACAAAGTGTTGTATGTTTTAAAGCCCATATCTTAAACATCTTTGGTTATATTATTCCTCTTTTTTTCTCTAAGTTTGAAGTTACCAGCTTGGACTGACATATAATATCCACATAGGACAAATAAAGGGATTTGTAGGTTAAACTTTTCTAAGGTTTGAAAGCTTTCTTTCATAGGTACCAGACACAAAAAGAGTAATGATAACCAAATCATTATGGAACACTTGCAGTTTGGCAACAGCAACTTCAGTATGAAGTAATCTGTGTTCTCTAAAACAGTTATGTGGACAGAGGAATAGGACTCAACCTGCAATAAAACAAAAAATACCAAAATTTTTTTTAAATGCCCCAAATTAATCTCTGTTCTTTTAATTTTATATCCAGATAAATCCTTTCATTGAACTTGTGTTTTTAAAATGTAAAGTTTAGCCAAAACCGGTTTGGCTCAGTGGATAGAGCGTCAGCCTGCGGACTGAAGGGTCCCAGGTTCGATTCCGGTCGGGGGCATGTACCTGGGTTGCGGGCACATCCCCAATAGGAGATGTGCAGGAGGCAGCTGATCGATGTTTCTCTCTCATCGATGTTTCTGGCTCTCTATCTCTCTCTCTTCCTCTCTGTAAAAAATCAATAAAATATATTAAAAAAATAAATAAATAAAATAAAATGTAAAGTTTAAGTTACTAAGTATAAATGAAGTACACTCAAAACATGAGCTTTATTAATTCATCTAGTAGCATAATCTTTTTGAAAGAATATATCTACAATAGTAATGGTTCAGTATAAAAATGGATTCTTCTTGATTAGAAACACTTTTATTTGGAATTTTAAAACAATTTTCTAAAATCTAAAGCTGATATTTCTTTCCACAAGAAGAAGTTAATAAATAGGGTTTGTACAAAGATGACTTTATTTGGATGTCGGGGGGCAGGGAGAAGAAGTCAATCTACTCTTAGTAGTTCACAAATATCCCATCTTTTAAAAGAATGGTATTGATGCTCAAAATAATGAAATCTGTAAGAGTAATGGTTTATGTTGGTTTTAATAAATGCTGTTTAGAATGTATGCTATTTTTTGTCCAAGTTGATCAGTGTTTATTTACAAGTGAGATAACTTATTTGATACAGTTTGTTCCTTCTGTAGTCATATTGACTAGGCATGGGCATGGCACAGCCCTGATTTCAAGTTGCTCACAGAAGCATAAGGGAAGACAGACAAATAATAAATTCATAATAAATCATACTATGGGATATGTGCTATGCTGCAACTTAAAGGTGCTGAGGAATATCTAGGAATGGCATTAAATTCATCCTGGGGGCATTAAGAAGACTTTCTAGAAGGTTTAGAATACTATTAGGGGTCAGCTAGATGATTGGGAATAGTGGTGAGGAAAAGGAAGGAGCAAGGCAGAGAACAGTGTAGCACACATAAATGCAGAGTTAGGTGAAAGAGATACAAGAGCAGGGCACATTAAGAAAACTTTAGTTGGTTGGGCTGTAACACAGGCAGAAGGAATTTGCAAGAGATGAGACTAGGTTGACTAGGTTAGATGATGCTAATATAAAGAATGTGGATTTATGTTGTCTAAATTTCTTGATTATAATAATAAGTATAGTAGTAGTAGAAAATGTGGTAGCAAAAGTAGCAGCTGGGCTAACATTTATCAAATGTTTTCCATGTGCCATGTACTAGACTAAGTTTTTTACTTTGTCTCTCTCTTTTTTTAATCCTTAATGTCCTTTCTATCTTATTTTCATGAAGTATTTTTATATTTGAAAGCTAAAACAAATTTAAGATAGTATTATTAGCAACCTCATTAGTTAAGTTATCCTTTATCTTAAATTTATAGAAATAAATGGACCATAGTTAATTAATATCACACATTCGGAGTGAGAATTAATATAAATCAATGTAATGATTTTAAACTTTGAAGTTTTTCTTTAACAGTCATCTTAGTTATTTAAATCTCTTTAAACAGCTTTATTGAGGTATAAATGATATATAATAAAGTACACATTTAAAATGTACATTTTGATAAGTTAGACATATGTATACGCCTGTGAAGCAATCACCATAATCAAGATAATGACCATATCTGTTACTCCCAAAAGTTTCCTCATGCCCATTTGTTAATCCCTGCCTCTTGGCCCTCCTTATCCTGCTCTTGCCCAAGCAAGTACTTGTCTGCTTTCTGTCACTATAGATTAGTTTGCAGTTCCTTAAATGTTTAAAAATCATCTGGATCTGTTCTTAGTTTCTTTAAATGTGTTCTCTCACATTTACCAAAGTTCCTAACACACACATTTCCTTATCTAATATTTTGTCTGAACAGGAACTTCTGTTCATTTTGAAGCACTCTTAAAAAGGCGTTCAGCAGCAGAAATCTAGATTTTAATGATCTCATTATCTTTTTCTGTTTAGCGAAGGATACTTACCAACAAATACCATTTCATATCATTGTTTTAAACAGTTGTGTAGTATTTTTTACCTGTTGTTAGATGTACCTGGATATTTTGAGACAATTCCTCCCTGTTTGACATTTAGATTGTATCTGGTATTTTGATAGTCATACAACAGGTATTTATCAAACTCTTGCTGTCTGTTGTAGTACTGTTTAAGGAATTGACTTGAATAAGACAGACAGACAGATAGGATCCTGCCTTTAGGAATTTACCTGGCAATGGAAGACAGAATGAAATGAGCAAACTAGTGAATGAGGCTGTTGCGGAGCTAATCAGTACCATGAGGGAAATAGGGGAGATGTGATAGAGTGTTTTGGATGGGGGAGGGGTTGCGGATGGATGCTGCTTTAGATGGGCAGATTAGGAAGACTTCTCTAAAGAAGCAGCTTGAGAAATGAGAAGAGCTACAGGAAGACATCATTGGAAGAGGGCATGATAAGGGCAAAGGCTCTGACTGACATGGTTATATTGTCTTCATAGAGTAGCAGATAATTAAAGACAAACTTTTTTTGGACCATTCTTAATATTTTTTAATAAATTCAAGGAAGGGAAATGTTTCCAAATTTATAAATGCTAGGTGGAGAGGGATACATTTCAGAAATACAGTGAATGAGTATACTGACTGATTGTTCCTTGGGCACAATAAAATGCAACTAATGAAAAAGTAATTAAAGGAGTTGTTATGTAAGGTGATGGATAAAAAGTTAGGGATCTTTAGGAAACAGAAAGGCTGAAAAAATTTATTTGTTCATTCAACAAATATTGATCATCTATCATGTGCCAGACAGTGTCGTAGGTACTAGACACAGGAGTAAATTAAGCAGATAACAGATGCTTCCCAGCCCTGGCTGCGTACCTCAGATCATTAGAATGTCTTCCCCATACACCAAGGTTGCGGGTTTGATCTCTGGTCAGGGCACATACAAGAATCAATCAATAAATGAATAAATAAGTGGAATGACAAATTGATGTATCTCTCTCTTTTGCTTTCTCCTTTCCCCTCTCTCTAAAATCAATAAAAAGAAAAAAGACACTTCCCTAATGGGGCTTCTATGAGACAGTAATCAAATATAAAATATTAAGTAGATAATAAGTGTTTTGAAGATAACTAAAAGAATAATTTCATATAATTTTTATATTTTAATAGTTTTAAATTATTTCCAACATGTATTAATCTAGTACTTACAACATTCTGCTATTTGTGTAATACTGGGAAGGGGCAAAGTAATCTAATGTACCTACATATTTCAGTCTTTGTGTATTTCCAATTGTGTGCAAGAGGTGATCTCATCCACTCTGTGGTTTTAGCCGGCATCTGTATGTAGTTGGAACTTAGAACTGCCCTTTCACGTAGAGTCGTGCTTCATACCATTTTTTATGTCTCAAATGGGATGTCTGGAAAGCAACTCAAGTTTAAATATAGAAGAGAGATTACTCATTCCACCCTCACCCCTAATCTGCCTCTTCTGATTTCATCATCAAGTTTTTGTGTTATATCTTGTATATGCTCTATTGTCATCTATTTAGTACCTTACCTCTAAGGTTGGGACCAAGAACAGAGGTGTATCTATAGTGCACAGAATTGTTGTAGAACTAATAAACATGAGATGCTAGAAAAAAGTATAGGATAAATTCAAGATAATTAGATTACTAATACATTTTTAAAATTTAACTATAATATCAGTATTTTTTCCTGATTATTTTTCCTGTGCCTTGTCAGTCTTTATTTGGACATTCTACTAAATGTATATTACAATTTAGACATAATATATTAAGTCTAAATGAATAAATAAAGATTTTAGGACTAAAAGTTGTTCTTTACCTTTTATTTACTGAGATTTAAAGATTTATTTCCTCATGCCTTTTCTCTTAAGAAATTTTGTAAGATTACATTGAGTTTTTCTTTCAGTTCCTAATATTTATTTTTGTTGTGGTTTTTTTATATAGAGGAACCTTTAAACTTTTCTCATATTTTCAGGTGAAGATTTGATTTTTTTAAGTGTTAATTTTATATTCTTGATATAAAGAGTTTGTATTATATGTAATGATTTATTGGGAAATGGAAAAGTTTGTTAATAATTATAAGACTTCCCAGGTGTAAATGATCTTACCTTCTTTTCTAGGTTTGTTAAAGTTTTGCACTGTAGGATTTTGTGGAATTGGGAGCCTAATTGACTTCATTCTTATTTCAATGCAGGTAAGTTATTTTTTTTTGTTTTTATTTTTAAATACATTTTTATTGACTTCAGAGAGAGGAAGGGAAAGGGAGCGAGAGAGAAACATCAATGATGAGAGAGAATCATTGATAGGCTTCCTTCTGCACGCCCCCTACTGGGGATCAAGCCCCCAACCCAGCATGTGCCCTGACTGGGAATCAAGCAGTGACCTGGTTCATAGGTTGACACTCAACCACTGAGCCACATCAGCCAAGTTGTAAGTTAGTTTTTATCTAGGAGATGAACTATTTTTACATTCAAATTTGATGTCTGTGATCTTCTGATATATTTTAAATATACTAGGAAGCGGTTAAGAATGCTTTTTCAATTTTTCTTCAGATGCTATATCCAAGGGATCATGGCCATGTTTCCAAGTAGCATTTTCCAATTTGTGTTCTTCCAATTAGTAGTTCTAAAAGATATAACTTCATAAAAAAAGGTTTCTATGATCAAATATGATTTGTAAATGTGAGTTCAAATGATTTAAAGAGATTTTTTTTACGGGATAACTTCTCAGAATCTTTTATAGTGTGTATTATGAATCTCTAAGAAGGATTGGGCTTATTTCTCAAACTTATTGTTTCTTTTCCTGATAGTCACAGACACATGATCAATTAATATACTAGGATATTGATGGGATTTGATATTTACATATGGACACCTGGAGGCAGAAACAAGATTTTCTTTTGCATTGGACAAGCACTCAATATTAGTATTTTTTTAGTTTCAAATTATAGAAACCGGAATCAATCTATCTTAAGACAAAAAGAGAAAAGGAATGTTTGGGTTCTCTGTAGATAATTGAAGAGTGGGGCTGGTCTCCGGTAAGATCAAATCAATATAATAAAATGATGTATCAGGACTCTCCTGATATTCATCTCTGTTTCTCTGTGTCTGCCTCATTTTTTGCTACTATAGTGCTATGGAGACAGGCGTAATTTGTGAAATGCTATCTCTAGGCATTTAAAAGTGCCACCAGATGTTTTCTATTAAATTATACTGAACTGGTTGTGGTTAACTCATGAGGATTCTTAAATTAGAGAAAGATGAATTTATCATAACAAATGTCACAAAACAGCATTTCAGTAAGCATTTATGGAGCACCTAATGTCTTCAACAAGTGTGTCAGTATGTATTTTGATCATCATCAGTTTTGTATTCTTTCTCATACAGTATTTCCACTCCTCAGTTCAGTCTGCTTGATGCTATCCTTATGCTTTAAAAGAAAGTCCAAGTCTAGGAGGTTTTGGTAGCATACTGTGAGGAGGGTACCATACTGTGAGGAGGAGGCAACATATGGACCAATAAGATACCAGAATTAAATAAGGAAAATATTTGGTTTTAAAGTTGGAATTTTCCTGTCTTTATTCATAAACATGCTTAACCAAATATCCTGCCTTCTCTGATTGTGGGACAGGCAAGCAGACATGAAGAGGCTAAGGTACTTGGCACATATACTTTGAGATGGTTTCTCACTTTAATTGAGGATCCAAGGAACTTAATGTATTATTGGGATTCTTTCAGATATCCAGAATTCAGTGTCAACCATTTAGTTAATATTTTCACACTGGGTTCTTTCTTTGGTGATATCATTACATTATAGCTTTCTTGCACGGGTGGGGTCTAGCTGGCCCGCGATTGGGCCAATCAAGCCAGCTGTGGGGAGGGGACCTGGGAGATTGGCCAGCCACCCCGCCCCCAATTGGGGTGGGGGGCAATCGGGGACGGGGCCAGCTGGGAGGAGGGGCCCTGGGCTGGCCAACCCTGCCCCCTGGTCAAACTCTGGTTGAATTCCCAGTTGAGGAGGCAATTTGCATATTACCCTTTTATTATATAGGATATCAAATTATAGAGCTTATTTGATTTAGCTACTGCTTTCTGGTACATGTATGCCTAAACTTTTCAGAACAAATATTTTCTTGAAGATCTGGCATTGACACTATTACATTAAAAAATTACTGAGGTAGATTTAGAATGTTTGAAATTCTACAATAAATATCCCTAAATAAGACATTTCAATAGGTACGGCCACTTTAGATTGCTTTGAGATTGGAGGAAAAATAAATCAGTTTTCAAATGCAGCCAAATAAGACCTGTAGCCTTATTTTAAATGTCATTTGATATACTTAACATGTGATGTTGACTATATTAAAAAAATTTTTTTTCAGCAAATCAAATAAGATTTTACTATAAAAATCAGAAACTCTGTTTCAAATATATTTTTTTCCAACTTCTCATGATCTTTTTGTTTACTCTTCTTTCCTTCTTTATTTTCTCTATCCCTGATTTTTTTCCATTAAATATTATTCCCTAGTGAATTGCAGTGTTTTTCTATTGGGCTGTGATCCCAGAAACATATTGCGCATGAATTCAAGACCTATAAAAACATACTTTGCTTCACAGTGTCTATAACACAAATCCAGAAAAATCCTCTTAAAAAAATAGCTCTAGTTATTTCATCTTTGAACCAAAGAGTACAATCACACATTACTAAAGTAAGCTTTACATGTTGCTATATATACTGAAAGTATTTCCATGAGTTTATCTACTTGTTAATAAACTTGAAAGTTTCTTTCTTTTTGTTGTTGTTGTTATTCTTAAAAATATGCAAGTGGCCCTATGTGAATGAATGGCATGAAACAATACATAGAATTAATTCAGTTATTTTGTGCATTCAACCAAAAAACTAAATCAGTGATACATGTGTAGGCTACTGTCTTTCAGTTATAGGTAACTATTGTGTATAACTACTATATAATTATTCATAAGGCATTTCCAAAGATTTTAAAACACTCATTCTTTTGTGTTTGTATATGTTTGTGTAATCATGAAGGATTAGACAATTTAAGGTTTTTTAATCAGAAAAAATAGCATATTTGGATTCCATTTAAACCTCTTTTTTCACACAATCTGGACATTTTAAATTACACCCAAACCTATGATATGTACTCTTTCAAACAAAAAGAAAAGAAATTTTCTTCTGTTAAGTGGAGACAAGGCAGCCACAAATCAGAAAGATGAAGAAGGGTAGTTTTAATATAGAAAGTTGTTAGAAGGAAGTATGTTGGGTTCTTTGTGACAATTTTTAAAAATTCTATATATTATGGAAGAAATCACTTTCATTTTCATTCCTATTGACATTATAGAGTAGATTTCCTTAAAGGACTAATAACTACATAAGCAGAAATTCAGAAAAGCTGCATAATCTCCAAGATATTTATGAATTTTATAAGTAAATTTATAAAGTATCTCATTAGTGTGGCATTTAATAGATGTAACTCACTTTAGCATTGGATTATATATTGCTTTTATATTATTTCTTAACTTTTACACCAGATCTGAACTTTCACACATAAACTTCTTGAAGAAAAAAAAAAAAGACTTATTAATCCTGTATAGCACTAGTAGTATGCTAAACATAGAGTATGCCCTCAAAAACTTTTGCTGATTTGAACTGTATGCATTATACCTTGTGAAAGTGTGGCGTTGTTCCAGTTACAGAGAAGATGAGAAGCTAAAAATGGTAGTTTTAAAAAAGTGATTGCTTTTTTTTTTTTTAGGGCCCTAAAGTTCTAAGTTTTACACGTTCACTTGAGAGGTAATGAATGCAAATAAAAGTTGGCATGATAAATTGTAAATATTAGGTTTTATGCCATCAATGAAAATGAGTTTAATGAGCACAATTAGCTATAATAAATTGGGATCCTTGCCCTAAAGGAACTTATGATCTAACTATCCCAAGAGTGTGGTCTGATGATAAGATTTCACTTATTATTCGACATAAAATATTTCCTTGACAACTGCAGGTTTAAAATAAAAAAGTTAACCTGACTATCTTAAGTACTTTGAATTTTACTAAAAATTTTAAAAGCCTTTTCAGTTCAGAGCATAAATAAAGTTAGGGTTAGAGTTCACTTCTGTGTAAGCCAATTTTGTCCTGTGAAATAACATGCTATTGATCAAAAGAATGACTAAACATGTAATCACCCTAAATCTATTAACAGCATTGGAAAAGTTGGTCAAAGTCCTTGATAGTTCACTAGATGTAGGACAGCAATATATAAAAACCAGTGGACATTTTGTAGATAGCAAGTCTTCCAAATAGCTCAGTGTATTATTTATTTAACCCTGGTGTGATTAATTGGGGAAATAAACTGGAAAACTGAGGAGACTGATCATTTGTGTCATGTGACCTTAATTAGGTAGCTCTCAGTTCACTTATGCTATGGGCAGATTTTTACTTTGTGAATGAAAGGAATGTTCATAAAACAAAGAATATCTTAAACTGGTTCTGAGACTAATCCCAATGCTCTGTTTTCCTCAGGAGATATAATGGGAAATATTATTCATTTCTTGAGAAGTGATGTTTGTGTTGGTCATTAAGGATTAATGCTAACCAGTCTTTAAATCAAATGATTATCTGGGTGGGCCCTAAATTCAATTCAAGTGTCTTTATAGGAAGTAGAGGAGGAAAAGACACAGACACAGACACAGAAAAGAAGGTAGTGTGAAGACAGAGGCAGAGATTGGAGTGATGTGGCCACAAACCACAGAATGCCAAGGAGTGCTGATTGCTACCAGAAGCTAGAAGAAGCTTACCATGGATTCTCCCCTACAGTGTCTGGGACACGTGGTTGGGCTGATACCTTGATTTTAGACTTCTGGCCTCCAGAACTGTGAGAGAGTAAATTTATATTGTTTTAATCCACTAAGTTTGTGATAATTTGTTATAGTAGCCGCAGTAAACTAATATAGAGAGGGAAAGAAGTTGCTTTCTTTTGGTTTTAGGACTTCTCACACCAGGGACATTGACATTCATTGTACAAACCGATTTCCCATCGGCCGGACCCCAGCAGCAAGCTAACCTACCATAGGGAGCGTCTGCCTCCTGGTGGTCAGTGCGTGTCATAGCAACTGGTCAAATGGTTGAATGAAACAGTTGGACACTTAGCATATTAGGCTTCTATTATATAGGATACCAAGAATCTGGAGATAAAGGTAGTTCTAAGATTTGCTAATTTAGACCTGAAGGACATAATAAAGGACCCAAATCTTTCCTTCCTTATTCCTCTTCCTCTCTTCCTCCTTCCCTTCATTCCCTCCTTCTCTCTTTCTTTCCTTCCTTCTCTTTGCCATCTTCAGGTCTTTTGGTTATCACTTTCTTACATAGTTATCGTCAGAGGCATCACTTTTTTACATAGTTACCTTCCTCTCACACATGTCTTCTTAAGGGCAAATAAGCCCCCACAGAACTCATCTCACAGGCGATTCCATTATAGGCCCAGGCTGAACCAGTCTCTGGAGGGAGGATTGGAATTACCATGATAGAACTAGGTGTTGAGGAACTTACATTAAAAAATGTACCTAACAGAATATAAAAACCACAGAATTTAAAATACCAGGACGGGGAAGCATCTTACTCATTAAAATGAAAAGATTTTAAATTTTCTGTGGTTTCTGGATTGAGTTGTCATTGTAATTACTAATGATATACAATTGATCAAAACAGCATAAAGGTTACAAATTTTAGCAAATAATTTTAAGCAAAAAAAAAGTAAAGTGATATTAGGAATGCATCCCTTTGAACAAGAAATGGCAGAGCATATTTTTAGTCTCTTAATTAACGGAGATTTCCCCAAGTCCAGTATTTTGAATTATCTCTTTGTTAGGCACATCAGAGGTTTTTATACCTCAAGGCAATGTGTCATCATAAGACTCTGGATATGCTTTGATGGGAGGTGTCTTTACTGTTGTCAAGTTGGAGAAAGAGCCACAGTGAAAAGGAAGTGGGGAAGGGTACTAGCCGGATGCCTCCAACATAGCATCAGGGATATCATTTTTACCAAGAGTACATAATCGAATTAAGAATCTCAAAACTGATTCCCTTAGAACTATCTGGGCTCGCATACACCTTGGTTAATCTTTGTAATCCCTCAGGCTACATTTTTGTTGTTGTTAATCCTCACTAAGGATATTTTTCCATTGACTTTTAGAGAGAGTGGAAGGGAGGGGAGAGAGAGAGAGAGAGAAACAAAAATGTGAGAGAGACACATCCATTGGTTGCCTCCCACATGTGCCCTTACCAGGGCTGGGGATCCAGCCTGCAACTGAGGTACATGCTCTTTTTTTTTTTTTTAAATATATTTCTTTATTGATTTCAGAGAGGAAGGAGAGAGAGATAGAAACATCAATGATGAGAGAGAATCATTGATCGGCTGCTTCCTGCACACCCCCCACTGGGGATCGAGCCCACAACCCAGGCATGTGCCCTTGGCCGGAATCGAACCTGGGACCCTTCAATCCACAGGCTGATGATCTACCCACTGAGCCAAGCCAGCTAGGGCGAGGTACACGCTCTTGACCGGAATCGAAGCTGGGACCCTTCAGTCCAAGGGCCAATGCTCTGTCCACTGAGCCAAACTGGCTAGGTCCCTAAAGCTACATTTTGAAGATTGCTGCTTTGAAGGATCATTTGTAGAGATCATGTTAATTGTATTCCCAAAAATGTGATTAAGAGAACAAGATGATTGTAATGAGCATGTGGATTTTTTTTTTTTTCCTTTCTATCCTCTTCCTTTTCCATTCCATGTGGTTCTGGTAGGACTGTCACACTGCCTTTTCTCCCACAGGAAGTCTGGCCTGGCCAATCGTATTAATCCTATTCTCTTGGGTACAGTAATTTGTCCAGCAATAGGCATATATACCAAGCAGGTCACAGTTCTTCCCTGGAATTGGTATATAAACACCGAGGAGGAAGATCTTACTTTCTTTCTGTTGGGATCTGCTGAGCTGTGAAAAAGTGAATCTGGAGCTGTTGGGAGAATGAAGGCAAGCAGAGCTACGCAAAGAGGCAGGGAGGCCAAACCAGAGTCCTCGTGGGCATGGAATTTCAGTCCTCGAGGCCTTGGTTCCTGCAGCTCATTTGACCCTGTGAACTTCCCTCATATCTTTTGTAACTACGAGACACTAAATTACTTATTTTTGCTTGAGTTAGTTTGAGTTACATTATTGGTACTACTGAAATAATTTCATTAGCAACTATAAAAATAAACTCAAAGTGTTGTGAAAATATCTTTGGTAAAATGAGTAATTTTGAAATATTTTTTCTAGATTGTTGGACCTTCGGATGGAAGCAGTTACATTATAGATTATTATGGAACCAGACTTACAAGACTGAGTATTACTAATGAGACATTTAGAAAAACACAGCTGTATCCATAAATGTTTTTAAAAAGAAACAGTAAGTGATATATATATATGTAATCTTAATTATAGTATATTATCTGTATGAATTATGAGAATTTGAGAGCCAGAGGAAATTGAAGAGACCATTTAGTGTTCAAATCTCTCCTTTTGCTTCTCAGGAAACACAGGTCTGCTTGTGCCTGAAATCTCTCTAATCCTTTGTAAAGCATTTTCATGTATGCTCACTGCTCTTGCAGTTAGTTCTCAATTCAGACTCTCATTCTTTACAATGAATATGGTTAAAGGACAAAGTTCACAAGAAAAAAGAATATCATCAAAACAAAAAGATATTCCATAGTATTATATGGTTATGATGAAAGCATGTGTTGTAGATAGTTCAATGAAGATTATTTTTTCTGCTGTCTTTCTCTCCTAGGCTCAATATGATCTTTTTAAAAATCAATTGATTGACTGATTGGTTGATTGATTTGAGAGAGAAACATCTATTTGTTGTTCCACTTATTTATACATTCATTGGTTGCTTCTTTAAAAAAAATACATTTTTAAAAAATTAATTTCAGAGAGTAAGGGAGAGGGAGAGATAGAAACATCAATGATGAGAAAGAATCATCCATCACTGCCTCCTGCATGCCCCCCACTGGGGATTGAACCACGACTTCCTGGTTCATAGGTTGACACGCAACCACTGAGCCACACCGGTGGTTGGTTGCTTCTTTTATGTGACCTGACTGGGGATTGCCCTGCAACATTGGCATATCAGGATGATGTTCTAACCAACTGAGCTACCTGGCCAGGGCCCATATGATCTTTAAACCTTTTTCTTTTCTTCTTCCCTAAACCTGAAAAGTTGATAGACCTCAACCCTGAACTACTATAAGTATTTACTCTAACCTAAAGTTTAGCTCTGCCCATGAAGATTGTTCATTGGTATCAGCTTTAAATAGGTAATACACTTAGAGAAGTCAGAGGTACCATTAGTTTTCCTGATTTAACACTGGTTCTCTCAGCTACTATAAGGTTTTTATTTCCGTGACTGTACATTAGTCTAGTCTAATAAGTAATCTTCCAGTAATGCTAGATTTTTCTCAGGAAAACAGTTTCCTGGTATAATCATTCTCTGTAATGGAGAAGTCCTATGCAGTGTGGGGAGTGTGGGTACGTCGTACGTGACTGTTCATTTGGAACTGTCTGCAGCTTTCAGAGACAGGGCAGAGAGAGACAGGCTAGATGTTTTGGCCACGATCATAGCCCTAAGGTTTTCAGTTGACTCTATCTCAGAGAGTGCTTCTATAAGCCAGGAAGGGAATCTGCACTTATTTTCTATGTTGAAGTGTATAAATAGGATATGAAGTATAATTTTGCCTTTAAAGTAGGGTTTTTTTTCTTAGTAAAATTATGGAATATGCTTTATAGATATTGTCATAAGTTTGAACAGTGATTGACCCTGTTTAGATCTGAGGAATTTATTCAACTGATTGTCAAAAAAGTTTTTGAAATGTTTTTTAAAAATAAACTTTAATAACTTTTTGGTTTAAAATTGAAATGAAAAAAAAAATTGAAATAAAATAAATAATTGAAATGAAGCTTAGAGATCCATCTGCCTCTTCTGACCAGGGAACAAATTGAGACTAAGACAATCAGTGTAGTCGGTGTGAAACTGAATCTCACATCTAGAACTCTGAGTTCCACTGGTTGTTCTCCATGTCCCTTCCCACTCCAACCCAACCCCAACAACTATATAATTTTGTATTAAGCTTATTCATTTTGGAAATTATTATTCTTTATGAGAAGGGTTGAATAGTTTCACATAACCCATTTTCATACTGTAAATTGTATCCCATTTAAAAGTATGAGATTGGCCCCGCCAATGTGGCTCAGTGGTTGAGTGTCAACCTGTGAACCAAGAGGTCACGATTCAATTCCAAATCAGGGCACATGCCCAGGTTGCTGGCTCAATCCCCAGTAGTGGGCATGCAGGAAGCAGCCAATCAATGATTTTTTTTGTCATCATTGATGTTTCTATCTCTCCCTCTCTGAAATCAATAAAAATATATTAGAAAAATAAAAGTATGTAGATTGTTCTTAAACCATAATGTGTAAAAATTAAGTAAATGTAATTTAAATTTCTTAATTGATTTTTAGAAAGAGAGAGAGGTGGAGGTGGATTTGCTGTTCCACTTATTTATGCATTCATTGGTTGATTCTTGCATGTGCTCTGACCAGAGATTGAACCTGCAACCTTGGTATATTGGGACCTATATACCAACTGAGCTACAGGGCCAGGGCCTAAGCAAATGTAATTTAAAAAAGCAATTCCATTCTCTGTAGCCTATTATAGAGACATTTAATTGAGATTCCAGACTCAAATTTAAAATTTAAAACTCTAAAGGCCTGTTGAGAAGGCAGATCTCTGCATTGTCATTCATATAATCTCTCTATAATGTATACAAAAGGGCTCCAAAAGTAAGAAAAAATGTCTTAGGTAAATGAAGCATTGAAATGTGCATCTACAGTGACCTCATTGGATTCTTAAAAAATCGTGTGCTTTAATGTATTTATTTTTTCTGTTTTAGGTTTCGGGCCTGATTAATTTTAATAGTGAACTTCCAGTATGTGGATTTCCAGATTTTCTTTTTCCTTCTTCACATAACACTTTACAGATTCTTTGTAACTTTTTGTTGTTGATGATGCTTTGTTTTGTTGTTTTAGTTGAAAGCATTTTATCCTGAGATTTATTTAATAGGACTTTCTTTGAGAGCTGTATGTATAATAATAGTCTTTCCTAGGCTACTGTCTCTATGAGATAGATAGCTTATTACCCGATATCCTGTAATGTCTTTTCCAAAGACAAGTTGCCACTTGTCATTTTTGCTTCTGAAAAATAAAAGTATGACTTACTCACATTTTTTAGTGCTTTATTAAGAAACCTTAAATGTTGAAAGTAGCTGTCTTCTGCATTTTGATCCTTCAAAGTAGTTAATCCGTGGTGTGAACAAATACCATTTATATTGCCTGGGGTGCAGTCTAGTGTATGACAACCCGCCTGGTTTTCTGTAGCTTTTCAGATCTGTCTTTGCCTTGGTATCCAAGGAGCTGAAGATCATCAGGGAGTCTGAAACCTTGAGGCAACATGGGAACTTCTGGCATTGGTTCAGGCCTCTGAAGTGTGAACTTTCTCCTTTTTGCTGTGGGAGTGCTGCACTAGCTTTTGAAAGACCAGATGCTGACTCATCTAGCTCAGTGCAGTTACATTTGAAGTTGGATGGACAAGGTGGGAACACTGAACAGAAGATTAATGTTTCCCATCTGTTAGCACTGCCAGGCAGCTGCTGGACAAGCGCCTGAAGTGATGCACAGAGTCTGAAGGAAGCAGCACCTGCATGTTAGCACTGGTTTTTCTTACTGTGTTTAAGAAGCTGGAAATACATGAAATGTATGTCCCCATAATCCTGTTACGTGCTTTCTTTAGTAACAGGCAGCAATTTCAGAATTATTGAAGCCGGACTTCTCAAAAGTGAAACCAACATTTTTAATCACCCATTTTACTCAAAAGTGTATTGTATAGTCCAGTTAGCTTCATAACATGTTAGTCATTCAGTAACAGATTCTTCAGTTAGTAGGATATTCAGTATTGATATATAAAGCAAATTTGGGTTGACTCCTAATATATATCAGGAATGGTCTCTTATTCATTAATGAAAATACTGGGTGTCTGCCATTTGGGAGGCACTGTCCTAGATGCTACGATGCAGCAAGGAGCAAAACACAAGCATCTCTGCCCTTAAGGAGCTTATATTTCATTGGGATCCGCTTCTTCATAGTGATAATATTTTGGCTTCAGTTAAACTAGCTGGTAGAGCCTGTTTCCTAGTATTTCCTAGATTCTTTTGGTTGCAAACAGTGCTTTGAAGTTCCTTCAGGATCACCTAAGCCCAGATTTGAAAAGTCCATTAAGTTTTCATAGCCATGTAAGTTCAATTATATAAGAAATACTTGCAGTCAAGTCTTGAAAAGTAATATCGATTCTTGTATAATTGTTACAGTTATTAACATGGCCAGGTGAGAAATCTGTTTTAAAGCAGGTTTCTCAAAATATTTAGTCAAGTAAGCCGTAGTACTCTGGGTCATTGATACAATCTAGAAATACAGTTTTTTTCACAATACACTCTTAAAAGTTTAAACTTTATTTTCACTGTAATATCCTAAATTTACATGACAAGAGCACTTCAGCCTGCAACCAAGGTACACGCCCTTGACCAGAATCAAACCCGGGACCCTTCAATCCACGGGCTAATGCTCCAACCATTGAACAAACTGGCTAGAGCTATATATAATTCTTTAACATGTTTTTTTTTTTCCAATTATGTGAATGAATTTAATGCATGTGAATACAGTTTGTTTTTACTTTCATGGAACACTATTGTTTTTGGCTATTAGTGTGTGAGAGTATAAATTACATGTGAAGGCCTCTGTATGAGATGTTTTATATAATAACCCTGCTTTTAAAACAGTGGCCAAGTATGAGATGGATTAGCTCAGTCTTTACTCCTAAACCCTCTAGGGTGGGACAGAATGGATTATTTCAATTCTACAGAAACAGTATTTCTATAGACCCATTTACAAATGCTAATACAATTTCCAGAAGTCCCTCTTTACCCAGGAAGAGTTCCTACTACACTGTATTAAACGGAAGGACCACTTTCAGACTTCAGAGTCTGCTCTGTGCATGCCAGCTTTTATTCCTCGGGCCACTGGGACTTTACAAAATGTTTGTTTGGGGTATGTTTTTGTTTTGTACACAAAAATTCTGTGTCTTTTTTTCTTATTTAAACCTAGATGCTTAAGGCTAAGTATTATAAGACAGATAGGCAGTTAGGAAGCTAACATAGATCTAATAGCAAGAAACTAGTAAGAAGGAAAATTAGTTCTTAAAAAGCACAAGTCTAAGATGTTCTCTTCCTCAAACACCTTCAATGTAAATACTCCCCAGGGTTCTGGCACCTTCCCTCTTTCTCTCATTAAATCAGCATCCATTTTGCATTTTTTCTATGTACAAAATTCAAGCTTACTGCAGAAATTCTGGGAAAACACCAAAAAGTACAAAGGAAAAGAAAACTCATTTCACAGCTCAACGGTAACAATATTTTTATGTGTGTCTTAGTACCTTTTTCATGCATGTATGTTCATTTTTCACAGAAATTACACATTATACATACTGTTTCGTAGCCTGTCTTCACATTGTAAAGATTTTTCTATTTCAATAAAGATTTTTTACAAAATCATTTTTAATGCCTGCAGAATACTCCATGTCGGTATCATAATTTATTTATGTAATTCCTTATTGCTATTTAAGTAATTCCAATAAATAAACAATATTCATGTCTGATTTTTTTCTCTAGAATTGTCAATTCTTAGTCAAAAGTGATCACATATTAAAGGTTTTGATACATACGTACAGTCTCAGTTAACCAAGGTAACAGAGAAAGAATGAAGTCAAGTAGCCTAAACCCACGTTCAAACAAAACCTCAGTCAGCTCTCAAGTACCTTGTTCAGTGACCTGCAACTACCTCTTGCTCTGCAGTCAGGACACAGCTCTATCCTGCTGACTGCTGCTCCCAGGAGCTAGAGAAGGACACTTGGCAAAAGGGTGCTGGTGCTGAGGATTGGGAATGATAGGAAATCTGTTCGTTTGGCACAATAGCTGACCAAAGCACTTAATTGCCCTCCAGAAAGCTTTAAGAGAAAGAAGAGTTTTAAGGAGTAAGTAGGAAGATCACATAATGGTCTTTTTTCTTCCTTGTGGCGAGGGAGTTGGGTGAATTTGGAAAATGAGAAAAGTTGCTAAGTAGGAATGAATAAAAATTCTGAACAGCACTGAGTACCCAATTGAGTCCTAGAATAATGCACTTGTTAGGGTTAATCATCATGGCAAGAGTTACTCATTCCTGTATCTTCTTAAGTAGAGCCCAGTATTTTAATTCTTAAGGTATCAATGCCTTCAAAGCTAGTCATTGTCTGATGGAGGAGGAATGTTACTTTCCTAGAAAATATTTTCAAGAAAATATGTAAGAAATATTAAGGAGAAGTTTTAAATCTTCAAGATTTTAGCTTATTAAGAATTTCTTTTACTGCCCCCCATGTGCAAGGTGTTTCACTAAACTCATATTTTTAAAAATTTATTTTATTGATTTTTTACAGAGAGGAAGGGAGAGGGATAGAGAGTTAGAAACATCAATGAGAGAGAAACATCCATCAGCCGTCTCCTGAACACCCTCACTGGGGATGTGCCCACAACCAAGGTACATGCCCTTGACGGGAATCGAACCCAGGACCCCTCAGTCCGCAGGCCAACGTTTTATCCACTGGGCCAAACCGGTCAGGCAAAACTCATATTCTTAAATTATTTAATCCTCACAACATTTCTATAGTCTCCCTGAAGAGTCATATCATTATCCCCACTTTACAGATAAATAAATTTAGTCCCATAATGATTGAATGACTTACCCAAGGTCATGAAGTAAGTGGTGAAGCTAGGATTTAACCCCAGGTCTAACTGCTATTTTGCCTGCAATATGATGGTTACAACCATTGAATTCTACACAATATACTACTAATCTTATATAATAATAAAAGCATAATATGCTTATTAGACCAGACATCCTTCTAGACCAGTGGTTCTCACCCTTCCTAATGCTGTAACCCTTTAATACAGTTCCTCATGTTGTGGTGACCCCCAACCATAAAATTATTTTCATTGCTACTTCATAACTGTAATTTTACTACTGTTATGAATTGTAATGTAAATATCTGATATGCAGCATGTATTTTCATTGTTACAAATCGAACATAATTAAAGCATAGTGATTTATCACAAAACGACCCACAGATTGAGAATCGCTGTTCTAGATGAAGCCAGGGCTGCAGCCACTACGGCTGCAAGGGAGGGATCCAGGCAGCTGCCGAGGCTGCAAAGGCCTACTCTTGCACGAATTTTGTGCATCGGGCATCTAGTGGTTGTATAATAAGAGACTTTTCTTAATATGTTGTTTAGTGTTTTCAGTAAAGATGGAATTACCTGTCTATACTGGGTCTTTCTGCTTAACAGGTAGTTTGGTGGTTAAAAAATAAAAACTTATTTTTTAAAATTCAATTTTATATTATGCAAATGCTAAAATGTTTTATGAATATTAAAATGAGACTATGATAGAGCATGATTATTGTCAAAAACCCAAATATCTCTTTGCTGCCACCATCTCATCTGTCATTTGCAGCACTTTCTGGACCAAAAGTCTGATTGTGTTTGTATGACAGCGGCAGAGATGTTAGGTTGCACCGTGCTGTCACACTGCTTAGGCTTGCTGAGGTCAAATGAAGCTCGAGACATCTGCAGGTGGTGGGATTGTGGGTGATTTTTTTTTTTTATTAACATTTTTTTTATGTTGAATTTATTCCCAGGCCATAAGTTCTTGTTTCTTCTGGGATATCCTTTTCTTCTGTGCAACTTCCTCTTCCGGTTTAGGAACCATCTGCTCTTTCTCAGTAAGGACCATCGCATGTAGGGGGTAACCCACGCATGAGCTCTGTAAGTTCTGTGCTGCATCTTGGGAGCCTTGTTCACCTGGATGTGCTTGAGGACCAGATAATCTACATCTAAACCTTGAAATTCAGCATTCCCGCCATTTTTAATCCTGTGCAGCAAAAATTTAGCACTCTTTCCGGCCACTGACCCGGTGTCCTGCCCCACTGTTTGGCCTGGGCACACCTACCAACACACTCTTGGAACGCTGGAATGGCACACATTGCTTCCGTAAAGTGACAGACACCCTTCAGATACTTGGTTGCTTTTCAGATATGCATACCCTTGAAGGCCTGGGCCATTTTACGAGTGTCCTTAAAGGGAACACAAAGATTTGAGCCTCTTGATCTGCATGATTTTGTGGGGTTTGCTGGGTAAAGTGAATAGCGAACCGTTTTCAGAGGTCACTCAGGCTGCTTATGAGAAGAGTGCAAGTGATTTTTATTCAGTTAGTTTTCCTTTTGGCTTATGTGCATTTTGTAATTTCCCCTACAATAGACACACATTATTTGCATGCAAGAATTTGAAACAATAAATAATAGTATGGGTAAGTTAGAACAAAGAACTCAAGGAGATCATGTTCTCTTCTTCCCTCCTCCCTCCTCATGATACACTTACTCTGATATCTCATCTGATCCTGACATTTAAAAGAAAAAGCAGATCCAACACAGGATATCAAAGCTTTGACATCAAGCAGCACATTCCGATGGAAAAGGCATAGACTGTGGAATCAGGCCTGAGTTTGTATCCTACTTTGTTACCTGTTTTTATTTTTTTTTAATTGATTTCAGAGAGCAAGGGAGAGGGAGAGAGAGACAGAAACATCAAAGATGAGAGAGAATCATTGATCAGCTTCCTTCTGCACATCCC